GTTTACATAAGAACATAAGAGACGCCAATGTTGGATCAGGCCAAAGGCCCATCCAGTCCAACACTCTGTGTCACACAGTGGCCAGAAATACCAGTGCCATCAGGAGGTCCAGCAGTGGGGCCAGGACATTAGAAGCCCTCCCACTGTTGACCCCCCCCCCAAGCACCAAGAAGACAGAGCATCACTTGCCCCAGAGCCCCTAGCTATACCTTGTGGCTAATAGCCACTGATGGACCTCTGCTCCATATGCTTATCTAATTCCCTTTTGAAGCTGTCCATGCTTGTAGCACCCACCACTTCCTGTGGCAGTGAATTCCATGTGTTAATCACTCTTTGGGTGAAGAAGTACTTCCTTTTATCCGTTCTAACCTGACCGCTCTGCAGTTTCATGGAGTGCCCACGAGTTCTTGTATTGTGAGAAAGGGAGAAAAGTACCTCTTTCTTTACCTGCTCTTTCCCATGCATAATCTTATAAACCTCGATCATGTCACCCCTCAGTCGTCTTTTCTCCAAGCTAAAGAGCCCTAAGCGCTTTAACCTTTCCTCATAGGGAAAGTGTTCCAACCCTTTTATCATTCGAGTTGCCCTTTTCTGCACTTTTTCCAAAGCTATAATATCCTTTTTAAGGTGTGGTGACCAGAACTGCACACAGTACTCCAAATGAGGTTGCACCATCGATTTATACAGGGGCATGATGATACTGGCTGATTTGTTTTCAATTCGTTTTCAATTCCTGTTTGTTTTTGCTAGAGGTGGCAGGACTAGAACCAGCAGGTGGCAATTTTAAGTAGGTTTTAGATAAATATTAAGATAAATCTCCCAGTGTTGGTAAGAGCTATTTAATAGCGAGTTGCATCAGAAAGTGGTGGATTCCCTTTCACTGATGGCTTTTAAGCAAAGGCTGAATGGCCATCTCTCATGGATCTGGTGGCTGCCTGTTTCTGTTCTGAGCAGTGATGGTCCCGTCCAGTTTTACCACTCTGTGATTTTGAGACTCTATGATACAAACCCCAAAGCAGAGCACGGCAGAATGGGCTGGGATGGTTAGGCAGCTGATATCTGTCCAAACTTCCCTTCCCCAGGTTTAAGGATCACTAGCTTTGTCCAGTAATGGCAATGAAGAAGTAGAAGCACCACCCAAAAAGGGAAAAGGTGTGGAGATCCAAAAGCTCACCTGTCCGCTGGTCTCTTTCCTGGAAGGCTGATCTGGAGGAGTGTTGCTCTGGAGGCTGGAGTCGCAGATGCAGGGCAGTCCGGCTTCCTCGCACTATTTATAGGAAGGGAGAGGGTAAACAGTTTGCATGAACCCAGAACACACCCCGTCTCTATGGCAGACTTCCAGGGGAACTGGAATGGAGGGGAAGCCCCAATGGGGAGGGCCGGCCTCCAAGGTCAGGGAAAATGTCAATATCCAGAGTTGTTAGGAGGCAATCGGGGTGATGTGGTCCACGGGGTCTTCAAGAGTCGGACTTGTGCAACTGAATAACAAAAATCAGGGGCCATTCCTGTTACTGCCAGAAACCAGTGGACTGCTGTGTTGCAAACCCAATGTTGTTTCTGGGGGCCACATTACATGTTGCACAAATCTTATCACCTGTCTTATCTTTTTGTAACTGTGTGGCCATTCCCCACCCAAACTCCTGTTCACAACTCTTTGCGTTTGTGTTCCCAGCATTGGCTGAAGGGGAGTAAAGAGATCTCCTAGAGTGGCTGCCTCTGGGGTCTCTGTGCAAGCTTGTTTCTATGGTTTTCTCTGCCACTTGCATTCGTTTTCTGATGCCTTCTCCGCCTTCAAATGCTTTGAACCCTTGAAAGCTTTCCTGTAGTGATCTCATGGGCTGTAACCTACTGTCAGCAACCAGTTATGGGTAACGCGAGTTGTGTCTTATGCGCTGGGCAGCCTCAGTCTTGCATGGAACACTTTCCCTATGAGGAAAGGTTAAGGCGCTTAGGGCTCTTTAGCTTGGAGAAATGACGGCTGAGGGGTGACATGACTGAGGTTTACAAGATCATGCATAGGATGGAGCAGGTAGAGAGAGGTACTTTTCTCCCTTTCTCACAGTACAAGAACTTGTGGGCACTCCATGAAATTGCTGAGCAGTCGGCTTAGAACGGATAAAAGGAAGTACTTCTTCACCCAAAGAGCGATT